GGGGGGGGGGCATCAAGATCGAACCTGATCGCTTCACAACAATGCCACTACGTGCCTTACAGATATAATTTTTTTCACCTTCACGACATTTTTTGCTTGCTTTTTCTCTCTGATTTGAGGTAGTTAATTGTTGTTTGAGCAATTTACTTTAAATGTTGTTATTTACGACGTGAATTGCTAGGTATCCGTAAGCAGTAGACTAAGCCGGTGAGGACTACTTTCTAGCAGGTGAAGGAAATTGCTGTAGAAAAATGCTGTTTTCAGTCGGATGACTTATTGTCATGAGAGGTAAGCGAACAGCGAACTCTAAACTTTTGCATTGAACAGGGTACAGTAGAAAATCACTCTCAGTGCAGTAGGAATTGCGGTGTTCTTTGGCGTGTGTACCTAGAAATCTTTTTCTCGGTAATCGTTAAATTCAAGGTCCCGTTGATGGTAGATCAGTGTGTTGCCAATGTTTCGGTTATTTCTTGGACGTAATGTTCGTATTCCGGGTTTTGTTTTCAGTAGCAGATCGAACGGTTTGAGGTAATTTTTCTTTCTGATTCTGTTTCATTAAATCTTTCATGTACAGATGCTGTTCAACAGCTGACGGTTTCGCAAATCTACCGTCGACCGTCGTGTTCGAAGCGGGCGTCGAACCGAAACAGAAGAAGTACAGTGCATTCATCAAACCCGAGGGTTTGAAACCGAGTACTGTAGCTGTGGACTTTGCGGTAGATGATGTCGGTTGCATAAGCGGCATCCCGGAAGAGCATATTGTGACTAGAACAGCGCATATATTCAAACCGGCGAAGTACGCGACCCAGGCTGGCACCAATCACACACACCGCTGGAAGATCGAGTTCGATAATCGTGAGCGCTGGGAAAGCCCACTAATTGGCTGGTGTTCAAAGTAATCTTTCGAGTTTGTTCTTCGCTTTCTCGTTTGTTTTCTCATGTAGCTGTATTGTTTTACTATAGTTGTGAATTCTGCTCAGTATGAAATGTCTCTAGCATTTTTAAACAGAAGAAACACAAAACGTTTAGTTCCGAAGTAAGGTTTGATTATCATAACAATGTTTATTTTGTTCATTTTGAAAACCGGTACCTAATTTAATTGAGTAGCACCTTCCAGGAAATGTACGATTTTGTCACGCGTTGCTGTTTTAGCAAGACGTGTTAAAAGTTGCCCTTAATGAGCGTTTGTTGGAAATATTGCATTGTCAACCTCGGTCTCTGTCACAAGTCCTGTAGATAATCTCTTCGTGGTTTTTGGTTTGCATTGATCTAGTGTCTTTGTTTCCATTCCCAACAATGAACAACATCGAGAAATAGATCAACAGCCAGAAAGAGCAATGATCACGTTAAAGCAGTTTCTAATGCAGTCTGATCCGACGGTATTAATGAATATCCCCTGCGAAAATCTGTTTCATTTGACTGTGGTGAACGTGCCGCTAGTGTTTAACTGACAACAAAGCAGTGTTTGTGCTTATTAATGAACTGTTTTCTTGGTGCATTATGATACTCAAGCGTAACAAACTTTGAAAAATTTTTACTTGGATACTTCAGGTTTCTGATTCTGGACCCACTATCATATACATGGTTGTCTGAATGATTCATGGTTCGGGGCACCAACTATAGCAGATGGTAAACAGTTTAATGCCAACGCGTTTCGCTGCACACGCCGCTGCGTAGTCAGGGCTGGACTGAGTATAATCGTCTGCTTGAGGGAATTTATGTCCATCAGGCGAACAATGCCAGTTTTTTAGTTGGCTTATCACACATTCAAATCGTTGTTACATTGTCAGACAGAGACCAGTGTAAATTAGGTCTGCTGGTAAAGGAGTCCTTGCATACACTGGCAATGAAAATCCGGAAAAAGCTGGGGCGCAGTCGCAAAATCGAGTCATAATTCGATTTTGATTGATTTCGGACAAAGATCCGAATTATTTTGATGTGACATTACACTTTGTTCTGACAATGTCGCGGTGATTGGACTGTGTAATAAGAGATTTGAAAAATTGGCATTGTTCGCTTTTTGGACATAAATGCCTTCAAGCAATCATTTGTACTCAGTTTAATCTTGATGATGCTGCGGTTTGTGCAATAAAACGCATTAACATTAAACTGTTAACCGTCTGCTGTATTTATTGCCCCGAACCACGAATCATTCAAACAACCATGTATAAAGATTTTATCTAACAGTCTTATTAGTACGTAATCTTGGTATTTTGTATTTTTTAGGGATTTAACCTCATATTCGTTTTGCCAGGTAGAGCGAAGTCTTGCTGTACGTCCGAGTGGTCATATTAACGTTTATCAGCGTATCGTAAATCTTTCAAGCATAAGATGAGAAAATATTTGAAAATTCCGCTATGTAGGGAAACGAAACGTTGAAGCTTACAGAGCAATTGAGATATCATTTTCTCATTTGTAGCTCATCTGTCGTCTTCTTTTGTATGCTTTTAGAGGCGAAATCATAGTTCTAAACTTAATCTAGAAAACCACTGTTTGGCAGCTTTCGAAACTAAGTTTCCGATGTATCACTATTTAGCCTGTATAGCGTACTATTAGAAAGTAGCTTTCAGTCTTGCCATCTGTTGCGCATTCACGATTAGATAGTCTCGGAATTTCTATATGTGTAGTCAGTTTCGGTAGCCTTTTATCCTTTCGAGTCGTTGAGGGAGCAGTAAATTAGTCAATGCCTCCAACGTTCCCGATCTGGCTCTAGCCGCTGAGCTGCGGCAGAGGATAACACAAGTATCGAGAAGAGTCCGATGAGGTGCTTGCTCCATGAAATTCTTCGCGGTCCCCGGGGCCTTCGGTCGATAGGCTGAGCAAGTAGTGGTTGTTTTGCCTTCCACTCTAGAAGCATTCGTAAAACTTACCCAGACCATCGTAGCTGTAAGTTTCAAATCTGGAGAAGAAGAGGCTGTACACCAAGGCTCTTTCGATTATCTAAACCATCGACCATGTAGAGATGCTTCAGCCAAGCGATTCGTCTTACAAAGCCCAATTCAGCCCCTGGTTCCAAGGATCGCAGCATTCTAAAATTCCCTCACGACTCATGATCGTTGTCAGGTTGATTTCTTAGAGAGTGACGGTGAATTTATTGCTCTCATGAAAATGGGTTGCACGGCTTACCCAGACAAAAAGAAACCAACAAATCCCAGATTCCACCATTAAATACTACAGGCGGTAACTTCCATGTTGCCTGTTGAAACGTTCGTTCCCTCTCTGGCAAACGTAAGTTAGACGATGTCTGTGTTACGACCCGTCAGTACAAGCTCGATGTACTAACGGTCACGGATGCTCGCCTTCCAAGGAAAAGGACGTTTGACCTGCAGGATTGAAGGTCATTTTGGTGATCGGGCCACTGTGGATTACGCCTTGACAGAGTGGGTATTCTCTTGTCCCATGGGCTACGACGGGCGGACTTCGTGGAACAGGTATTTGATAAAATTCTGACTTTTTGCGTGAATGTGAAACTGGCGATGCTGAATGTCATTTTCAGCCATGCCCCAACAAATGTGCTGAGTGAAAACGGTAAAGGCGTGTTCTGTGACTGTCTGCCGTGTGCTGTTAGCCCTTAATCGCGTCACGACGTCACAGTCCCGACCTTAGCCCGAAGGCATGTGCCTACTACAGGACATGGCCAGGTGTACACCCTTCCATCACAGTATTGACAACGCGAATGACAGTGGCAGGCGTCTCAAGCTTTTGTGCCCCATACAGCTGAATTTTCGGCTGGACCTCTTTTCTTATAAGCGTATTCAATAAAGGAAAGAAGGAAAGGGGGTCAGCGTTGGAATGTTGGTCTTCCTTCACTGTAATGACGGATTTTTTGCGCCCTTCTTTTCATATATTTGATGATTCGCCACAGTATTCATCAGTATTCATGAGCGTCTGGACTTCTCCTGATGGAAGCCCAAACCCTGAGCCGGAGCATGTCCTCATCAACCGCAGCTGGCGCAGAGGCTGAAACGTGGCGCCTGCTTTCGGTCTGATCACCCTATTGTCGTACCACAACTTCGTAGAAAATTAGCTTCGTCACATCGAACCCATATGGTTGAAACACATAAGCTGCTCGATGTTGACAAACTACAATATGGCAAGATGGTACGATCGCATACTACCAGGAGGTAGGGAGTTATTTTAATGTCACCTGTTGTACCAAATCCGGAATTGGCAGTGTCGATGAAGCTTACAAAGACTTCAAAGAAGCCGTGATTTCCTTGGCGAAAAACATAGATGGAATTGACAAGAGAATAATTGGACTGTCCGGAGTTACTATATGTTAGCCTTTAGAGTGCAAAGAAATCATGCAAACAAGGAGTATTTGCAACATCTTACTGCACCCTCGATGGCAGTTACCACCATCTCGTTCTTGCGGTCAACCAGAGCTGCAAGCGGCGCAGAGAAATTTAGCTGGCAGTGGAAATCAGGAAGATCGGCAAGACAGCCAAAAGCGATCAGTTTTCAGAGTGGTGCGACAGTTGTCCGATAAGTAGGGGATTCGGACTGTCCTTGCCCATTATGCTTAGGGTATCCCATTGGCGGGTCAGAATTAACGGCTCAAACGATGGTCAGGTTATTTGTGGCAGCTGCTCAGTGGTTGCCCTCTACAATCGATATTTACGATCGTTATCTTTCTGCCAACACAAGAGATCATTTCAGACCTACCCCGACAAAACTAGAAGTCTAAAAGACCCTACTGCACCTCAAGGTCAAGAAGACCTGTATAGTGGATGAAATTCCACAGAAGTTAGTGGAGGAACGGGAATGGTAGAAGAGCTCCCTGCCCTGTTTTATCAAATGCGGATCTACAGATCCCAGAAGAATGAAAGTGTGGAGTAATTGTCACTATATTTTAACGGAAT